ATGGAGCTGAAGGAACACAGCCGCTCAGAAGGGTCCCGACCCGAAACGTCAGCTTTCCTGCTCCTCTGATGCTGCCTGGCCTGCTGTGTTCCTCCAGCTCCACACTGTGTTATCTGAATGTGTGCAGCATTTGTAACAAGATAGCTGAATTACAGCAGAAATAGAAGTCAGTGAGGATGATATGATGGACAGTGCGGAGGCATGGTTGGAAGGGGACCAAAGCTGCAAACTGAATATTCAAGGATTTATTTGAAGGAATTGATTTATTTCATTTATTTATTGTCACGTGTATCTTGTTACAAAATACAGTGAAAAGTGTTGTATGGTGTCACCACTCTAGCGCCATCTTAAAACGCAGAAAAAGAAATCAAAACATAAAGGCAGAAAAATGAAGAAGTAAAGAAAATGTCCAACTTTACAGTCCTTCTTGTTAAGTGCCCCACCATAGGCTATGGGCCTGGGGGCCAGGCACGGGTACCCTTCACTGTACTGCTGCCACTGGAAGGAAACTTGCCACTCAACGATGCCATCTCTCCTCCACTGACGCCCTCGCCACTATGAGTCCTGGCTGGACCTCACCAATGCAGATGCCCAGAGGAGGGGAGGGAAGTATCTATATACTATCAGCAGCTTGTAAGTTAGCCATAAATTTGTAGTTAGAGGCTGTTGGAGGCAAAGAGACTGATATTTGCTCAGAGTTGCAGTGAAAGGTTAGAATAATTAGAGTGCTTTACTAAGATGTTTACTAAGGAAGAAGATGCTGATATTGAGGAAGATCAGATAAGGATTGACAGACAGGATACACTTGAAAGATTACCTATGCTTAGATTGGATAAACCGTTGGCCTGAATGGCTGCACCCCAGCTTGCTAAAGGAAATGGCAGTGGCACTAGCTAAAGCACTTACTTTAATTTTTCAGTCATTGCTGGATACAAGGTGAAGTGCCGAGGAGTTGGACAGTGACATAGTGACAGCCTTATTCAAGGAAGGGTATAAAGGAAATCCCTAGGAGCTACACACTGATTAGTTTAACATCATGGATAGGTAAAGATTTGGAAGCAATAATCAGAAAAGGAACCAACAGTGACTTGGAGAGGTTTGGGTGAATTAAGGAGACCCAGCAGAGATTTGTAAAAGGCGGATCAGGCTTCGCAAATATAATTGAAGTTTTGATGAAGAAGGAGTGAAGATTGATGAAGGAATACCCTGGATGTTATTTATTGGAATATGGGAAAGTGCTTGACCGAAGGTTGGTTAACAAAATTGAGGCACATAACTCAAGAGTCAGTGTGCAATTGAGGAAGAAAATTGCTTAAGGAGGGAAAACAGTGAGTCATGGTGTCTGATGCTTTGCAAACCCACAACCACTTCCATCTAGAAGGACAAGGGCAGCAGACACATGGGAACACCATGCCTCTGCATGTTCCCCTCCAAACCACTCACCATCTTGACTTGGAAATAGTGTCATGGGATCAAACTCCAGGAACTCCCTCGCAGATGGACTGCAGTGGTTCAAGAAGGCAGCTCACCACCAACTTTGCAAGGGCAATTAGGGATAGGCAATAAATGCTGGCCAGCCAGCATGGCCTGTGTTCTATGATTGAATGAAAACAAAGATTGTTTTTCACGTTGAAGGATGGTAGGTAATAATGTTCCTCAAGGGTCAGTGCTAGGATGACTGCTTTCTTCAACCTTTAGGGGAATACTGAAAGTTCAGCATTTATCTGTGGTATATAATGAAGAAGAAACCAATTGATAGCAACAAGACATAACTAAGCTGTCAGAGGGGGCATTTAAAATGTATTACAGAGAAGCAAGGTGATGCATTTTGGCTGAAAGCATCAGAAGAGAAATTATGAACTCAATAGCATGGTTCTAAAGAGTGACGGGACAGATCTAGGGATTCCTGTAGAAAGATCTTTGGAGGAGGCAGGACATTTTTGAGAACATAATTAGCAAAACATATCAGTTCTAAAATAGAGACGCTGTGCTGAGAAGCAGGGAACTTTTGCTGAAACATTATAAAGTTTTCTTGTTGGACCACAAGACTATTTCATCCAGTTCTGGTCATGACACTTTCAAAAAGGATGTGAGGATCTTTGAGATGGTGCACAGGAGAATTCCCAGAATGGTTCCGGGAATGAGTGATTTTTGATGCCAGGTTAGATTGGGAAAGCTGGGACTGTTACCTTTGGCACAGGGACAGCCGGGGAGAGATTTTTCGGAGGTGTACAAGATTGGGACACATTTAGGTAAGGCAGACAAAGGAATGCTGTTCCCATCAGCTAATGCCAGAAGGGCAAGGGGACACAGATTTAGATTTGGGACAAGAGAAACAATTTCTTCACACAGTGAGTGGCAGTGGTTGCCCACAGGGGTGGTGCAAGTGGAGACCATTAATAATTTGAAAAGAAATCGGATGGGCGCATGAGAGACATCATGCGAGAAATATAAGGGTTTAAAGAAGGGAGCGAGGAATGTGGCTTGCTCTACAGAGAGCTAGTATGAATTCAATCAGCCAAATGCCTGCCTTCTGTGTTGCTATGCCTGTGGGTATGTTAGGATGAAGAGAAACTGGGCTGTGAGAAACATATGAACATAACATCAGGAATAAAAACAGAAGTTGCTGACAAAGCTCAGCAGGTTTGGCAACATTTGTGACAAAAATTCAGACTTAACGTTTCTGGTCCGGTGACCCAACCTCAGTTTTGAGGAAGGGTCACTGGACCTGAAATGTTAACTCTGATTTCTCTTCACAGATGCTGCCGGACCTGCTGAGCTTTTCCAGTAACTTCTGACTTGTTCCTGACTAACAGCATCCGCAGTTCTTTCGGTTTTTATTGGATATAACATTATCTTCGCTGTCCCTTTCAATGGTCTCAGTCTAGGCCGTTCCAGTGTTGGGGCAAGACCATCACAGTTGAGCTATGACTGTTTGCTTTTGTTGGTTAGTTCTGATTCTCACCTCGTCCTACAAGTCAAGAAGTGGATGGGACAGTGCAAGAGCTGACAGTGTGTACAATCCGTGAGAAGTGGGTGTGAAGGTGACCGCAGTGATCAGTGTGAGGGGACACTGTAAATGCTGGCCGTGGATTATGTTGGGTATGTGAGTGAAGTGCTGGTGGAAAATTACACAGTGTGCAAGGCTCATGGATCAGCAGTAAGGCTAAGCCCTTGAGGGGAAAAGACCGCACACTAAACCTTTCCCTGCATTGCTTTCAGGTGCTCAGGCCAACAATCCTGGTGTTGGCAGTGATGACCATCTGCTCCCACTTCCTCCAACGGTTTGGTGGGAGGGCCTTCTGTCTCCCTATAGTAAGAGGACACCTGTCCTCCTGTCTACTAAGCTCTCCAGTGCTGTACAAGAGAACCTTGGCTCAAGTGTTCTATCCCAATGCGCCATATTCACTGAGACAGGCTTGTTCAGGAACCTTCTAGTATTTCCTACAGCCAGAACGCAACCCCTCTTTAAGAGGTGCAGTTCAATTTAGAAAGTGTAGGCTAATGTTTAAGTGATATTTGCTGCAAATAAACTCAGGCCGCCACTGAATGGTACAATCAATACTGGGAGCACACAACCGTCGTTTAAATGAGCCGGTAACACACACCTTAGTTGAATTTTATTGCGTTTCATGTTCACATTTTTAAAATCCTTCAGTAAAGTATTTCTTGTTTTCAGGTTTTTAAATTGCAATCGTAATTTAGGTAGCTGTCTGAAGGAAAGTACAATTTTGAATATTACAAATGGAGCCAATGAGTCTGAAGTTGCAATTGTACTTATACTATGTACAGTTGGGAATATGCTCGCATTTCACATATTCTGCCCCATCTCAGTCCCCACGCAGTTCAGAACTTGCTGGAAAAAGCTGTCAAGGTGGATCATCAAAAATGATACCTACCTAAGGGCTTCCAGTAATGAATATAGATTGCACAAGTGAGAGAGCTATTTCCTTTTGAGAAACAAAGCACACAGAAGATATCATTGAGGCATTTAAAATGATGGAATGATTGGACTATCAGGAACAGTAGACAATTTAATATAGAGACAAACTAGCATAACTTTTAATGTGATTTTTCCCTCGAGTTTGCAATAAAATATTAGCTTTTTCAAAATATTTGTAGTCCGCACTAATAAAGAATTCAAAGCCGTAGGAAGTGACACAAATAAAATGTACAAAATAACTGCCTTCTGGATTTGCTGGACTCAACATGCACTGACCTTTGGACACTCAAAAAGAATGACTAGATACTGGTGTTCTGCTGGAATAAAGATTAAATATTGTGATTTACTATTTGATCAGTTCTGCGCAGTCCATGGAAATATTGTTGCTCAGTTGGAAAACTGAGACAATTCTGTCCATGTTGTTAGAAACAAGTGTTAATCTAGATTTTCCAGTATTTTTTTCTTTATTCTTTCGTGAGGCATGGGTGTCACTGGCCAGGCTAATGTATATTGTCCATTCTAATGGCTCAGATGTCAACCACATTGCTTTAGGTCTGGAGTCATAGATAGGCCAGACCAGGAAAGAAAGGCAGTTTCCTTCCCTAAAGGAGATTTTCTCCCCCCTAACAATCAACAGTGGTCATCATTGGACTCTTCATTTCCAGATTTTTATTGAATTCAAATTCCACCAACTGCCACAATGGGATTTAAAGTCAGGTTCCCAGAATGTTACCTGAATCTTTAGATTAATAGTCTAGTCATAATGTCGCCAGTCAATCACCTCCCCCTGGTTTACTATTTAAGTATTACCTCCACAGGTGAAAAGGAGACAAATATGTTTCTGCATCTGAAGTAAACTGTAGACAGAATATATCTGAATTATACCTGCTATAAATGGCTATTTGACATAACTATACTTCCTTGTTCTGATTACCATAGGTATGTGTTAGGTGAGAATTAACTGGCTTCTGTAGTGTTAAGGCTCTCTGAACCATAAGTAGTGGTGCTTCTTGTCAAGAATTATAACATAAATTGTTCCTGCTATTTTTAAACACAGGACCATCAGAAGGAAGATGACACAGATTACATCATCAGTAATGATGAGCTGTCGGGGTATTATGACGACAAAGCAGTACCTGCTTCCTCTTCGGGTGAGGAACCAGGAAAGCAGAGTCCCAGCCAAGAGCAACCAGGGACCAAGGATATCTTCCATGAAGGATAAGTTCAGCGAAACATTGGCACTACCTCAAAATGGATTCCAGGTGGCTATACATCCGAAATTGGGCAAAGCATTTTTTGGCACATTTTCTGGTAAGGGAACAAAATGGAAGGAGAGATTGAAAAGCTCTCATATCCTCAGATCAACTCAACTACTCCAGCCCTTAAATTCCCATTTGTACCTTCTCCTGCTGAGCAGGCACTAAACTCTCGTACTAAAATCCAAACCCACAACTAGAGCAGCTGGACCAATACTTAAACGGTGAGTTCATGAATTCCTAACAGTAACACGCCTGAGACCAAAAGGCTATCTCATGACATTTTTGGAAGAATGTTATTTTAATTCTGTCCAGAGCCTTGGGAATTTGCCTGTCCAATCAAATTAATGTAACTGCACTGACCTGATGGTTTTTTTCCTTTGAAAAGCTCTTTGATGTCATACTAAACTTTGCTCCTTTCTGTCTCTGATATAAAACAGTCCCTGCTCGGGCCTCTGCCCTCATGCAGGAATGATTCTAATGCAGACTTTACAATCATGCTCTGTTACTGCTGAAGAAATACCATTGCACTATTGTGGAAGCTTTCAAAAGTTAATCAATATAAATGTAATTGTCCCTTTCTGTGTTCTTAATAATTTTGAAGGGTGTTAGAATCCTAAAGGTCAGTGGTACCTTTTTACATTGTTACATCACATTCCACTGTTCTAATGGTGTAACGGGTTGAATTTCAGTCATGTTCTCCGTAGTCTCTGGTTCAATAACTTGATAATGTTGACTAAGACAAACCACCTATAAATGGAAAAAAACTATGGAACTCAACTATCTCGGTGTCTTAGTAAATAAACGCATTATTTGAAGTCTTCTGGAAACCTGTGCTTTGCATTATGCTGTGGTATGAAGCCATACAAGGCCAAAAGTTCCCAAGAGTGATCCTAGACAGGAGTCAACATCCAACAACTAACTTGGCAACCACTTGGCTGGGAAGAAGCATGGAACTATCTAATGTGGAATTGTTACGCAGCAGCCTCTGCTGACTTTCAGAGTGTTAGATAAAGAAAGGATTGAGGCTGTAACAATGTGACAAATAGCCCGACAATACCCATTCCCATTGCTCACACACGAAGATCAGATAGTGGAGGCTCTCAGTGCTTGCAAAACTACCAAAGTAGGAAGTTGATTTGGGAGTCCATTGCTTCCAAAGCTCCAGCCAGAAAGGTGTGAAGGTGCCGGTGATGGACTGGGGTGGACAAGGTCAGAAGTCACATGACCCCAGGTTATGGTCCAACAGTCACCTGATGAAGGAGCAGTGCTCTGAAAGCTTGTGATTTCAAATAAATCTGTTGGACTATAACCTGGTGTCGACTGACTTCTGATCTTGTTCAGCCAGAAAGGAAGGAGAATTAAGAACAGAGGTAGGAATCTGACTTTCTGATCACTGGGTTTCAGTAACGGTCTCCAAACACATTTGATGCTGGACAATTAACATTACAAAACTATGATATATTTTTGTCAGGAAAGGCTAATAAGGGTTAAAGATTCGAAACAGCTGGATGGAGCTGATACAGATAAAGCCATGATCTAACAGTGTGGCAGAGCAGGCTAGATAACACCTTAAGGTAGATGCTACTTAAACAGAATGTAAACAGTACGTTGGATTAGGATTTGCCTGAAAGACTTTGCTCCATCACAGTTAACATGCATCGCCAGGGGGATAAAAGAGAAGATTATATTTCTGCACCTGAGTTAAACTGTATTGTTAAAAAGTACTGTCAATGTTTACTGGTGTGAATTTTGCTGTGAAATAGCTAATTAGGTTCTCAAAATCTTTCCGACATACCTAAAATTCAAATCGATGTAATACTGTACGTATTTTATTCAGGCTATGCTTTGCCCTCATCATAATCTTAACTTCAGAGACTGTTAATCTGTTTGATATTGGAAACCACTATTTGTGAAAGAACCTTTTATTTCTTTGGGTATGCAAAAATAGGCTTTATATAAGATGAAAATCTGTTTGAAGTTTTCTGGAACTTTGTATTGCACATTAGTAAATTTGCTGTAACATAGACATTGGGTAATTTTACAATGGGCTCTGCAGCTCATGTAGATCAATGTCATCTCTGCAACATTTGGGGTGGTGTCCAAGAAACAGATGGAAGCATCATTTTGTCTTACATCAGTGGAGAGACCATAAAAAATAGCACCTAACTTTTCTCAATACATGTGTTGCAGAAGTATAAAGCATACAGTTGTCAGCTTTGCTTTGTCATATACATTGGAAACATTCAAGTCCTTTGACATTCAGACAAATGATTTTAGTTAGTTTCAGATAGTTTATAAGGTATGTCATAGTTTGATAACAGGAGGCTCCACAAGCTAGAAAAAGGAATGGTGAACTTTAATTTAAGTCAAAAATCATGATTTATTTTCTTGAAGATGTTGACAAATAGGAAGGGCATGCAATAAATCATAAGTAACAAGGCATTAAAATACCAAGTCAGTAGCAGTGTCTGCATAGTTATGGGAGTTTTTTGTACATTTACTCATGGGATACAGGTGACACTGGCTGGGGCAGCATTTATTGCACATCCCTAATTGCTTAAAGGACTATTAAGAGTCGACCACATTGCTGTGGGTCATGTAGGTCAGACTGGCAGATTTCCTTCTCTAAAGGGCGTTAGTGAACCAAATGGGTTCTTACAACAATCCATGATAGTTTTTATGGTCACTATTACTGAGACGAGCTTTACATTTAAGGTTTTCATGATTTGAATCACCAGTTACCATGGTTGGATTTGAAAATCTGTTCCCAAAAGCATTAGCCTAAGCCTCTGGATTACTGGGCCAATGGTATTACCATCATAAACCTCATATTTTCCTATAAGAGATCGTGGCAAATGGATGACCCTCTGATATATCAACATCCTACACTATTTTAAGTGAAATCAAAGAAAAATTGCTTCTTAATTGATATTTCTTTGACTCTCTAGGATTATGCACTCTCTAGAATCAAAGCAATTGTTGTCTTTGTTGCTAACCTGCTACCACAAACAAACGCAAAATCAAAATAACCATCATAGGCAGTACATATCTACCAAAAAAAGGCCAAGATTAAACAAAAGAGCAAGAATTAAAGGTAGCAAACTACCCATCTAGAATCTTGTCTTCCTTTCCATAAAAAACCTTGCCTGTCATGTATTTTCTGTACCAACAGTGTAAGATGCCTTTGCAGTGTAACCTGTTGTAATATGGTGCACTTTCACAATGGAAATAAAATTAAAACAGTTTCAACTTAACCAATTTGACTTTTACTGCAAGCTCTAAACATATTGCTTATTATCAAATGCTGAAGTACTAGCAAAAGCTAATTCTGATAACACTGGAATGGGAATTGTCTGTTTAAAGCGAAAGTTAACGTCACTTTCGCAAACAATCCTTGTTAGTATGAACTCAGCAAGGTTGACCCACAGTAAAGCAGCCACAGAGGGAAACTCGATCTGCAAATGTTCCGGAAGAGCAAAGGGACACCATTTACACCAGTGGGCTTCAGGAGAGTGAGATAAAAATTCTATTAATTTACTTTATTCTACACCTCTACACGTAGGATTTCAATTATAAATGCTGTGGACCTTTTCTCTCTATGTTGTAGTGTACAGCCTCGATGATTGCACAGGTCTCTGATAATTCATTTGCCCTCAATAATCTTCTGCAATTCCCAAAGAATACCCATTTTTATCCCTAGGTGAATTGATCCTCTTTTCTATGCACCTTGGTGCCAATGTTGCCAGTTAGGGCAACTCCTCAGGTAAACTGGGAAAAAGCTCAGAATAAGAAAATCCCCAAAGGGTCAAAGTTTTAGATACTTCTAAGCAACCCGTTCAGACGCAGGTGGGACTTGAACTTGAGCCTCCTCAGTCAGAGGCATGGACACTCCCATTATGTCACAAGAGCCTTTTGATGGTCAAATGTGATGCCTCTGCCCCAATTTTACTGTCAGTTGTTCGTATCCAGGCTAACTCTTCCCTTAGCCATTTAACAGATATCTGGTTGTTACTTCACTGAGGTGCACCATCCCCCTCCCTAGATTCCCCCAAACAACAGGGAGGAAGTTCCACCTCCGAGAGCTGTGATCAATCCAGTAGCTAGGAACTGCCTGGTTCCAGCACAGCCACTGGAAACAGTGACAGCACAACTGAGATTGTATGAGTCCCCGAAGGGAGGTAAGTTGCAATGGAGCCGGCACTTCCAGGTAAGTCTGGGGTTTCTCAGGGAGGCCCTGGAAATCAGGGCTAGGATAGTCAGGGTGGAATGCAGGGAAACACCACCTTAGGGCAGGCATCTGGATAAAGGGGGTGGGAAGGAGACACTGCCCCTTTGCCTGATCACCGCGCCCAGTGGAATACGGCACAACTTCTTCAAATGTGGATCAAACCCCCAGCAGCAATGGGATGAGGTAATTATCCATGCAGGGGCCTCCAACTGACCCACATTCAGGCAAATCCAGGGGAACCTACCTAGGTGCTGATAAAATTATAGTAGGGGTGGCATTGGCAAGTGAGGCAGGCTCCAGGATTGTTATCCCTGGCATGGCACAGCCAATATTACAGACCCCTTAACACTCACTTCATCCCACCACCCCCAACTCCTCACCTTGCCCATCTCCAAATCTGCCATTCCCATCACTGGGAGAGTCATAAAGTTGGGTAATCATGTCCATGTCTGAACCAGAAGTTAGCCACACAGAAGCAAATTACTACATATGCTGGAGATCCGAAACAAATAGGGTAGTGGATGGTGACTACATGGACTTTACTAAAGCACTTGACAAGGTCCGTCATGGTAGGATGGTCCAGAAGATTAAGTCACTTCGGATCCACGATGAGTTGGTAAGTTGGGTACAAAATTGGCTTGGTTATGGAAGACAGAGAATAATTATGGAGGGGTATTTTTCTGACTGGAGATGTGTGACCGGTGATGTTCTGCAAGGATCAGTGAGGGATCTCTATTGTTTGTAAAATATATATATAAATGATTTAGATGAAATTGCATGTGGTCTGATTAATAAGTCTGCAGACGACATGAAGATTGGTGGAGTTGTGGATAATGAGGATGCTTATCAAAGGATGTAGCAGGATATAGACCAGTTGGAATGTTGGATGGAGAAATGGCAGAAGGAGTTTAATTTGGACAAGTAGGAGGTGATGCATTTTGGGAGGTCAAATGTAAGAGGAAAGAGTACACTAAATGACAGGACCCTCAGGAGAATTGATGCACAGAAGGATCTTGGGAAGCAAGTCCATAGCTCCTTGAAAGTGGCAACGCTAGTGGATAATGTGATAAAGAAGGTGTACTGCAAGCTTCCTTTCATTGGATGGTATATAAAAGTTAACAGGTCATTTTGCAGCTGTGCAAAGTTTTAGTTCACCCACATTTAGAGTATTGTGTGCAGTCCTGTCGCTGCACTATAGGAAGGATGTGAAGGCTTTGGAGAGGGTGCAAAAGAGTTTTACCAGAATGTAGCCTAGATTGGAGTTTATTAGGTATAAGGAGAGATTGGACAAATTTGGGTTGTTTTCACGAGAGCGTCAGAGGCTGAGGGGTCGACCTGATAGAAGTGTATAAAATGATGAGAGGCATGGATAGGGCAGATTGTTGGAGTCATGTTCCCAGGGTGGAAATGTCAAATACTTGGAGGCATAGGTTTAAGGTGAGAGAGGGAATGTTTAAATGTGATTTACAAGAAAAGCTTTTTACACAAAGGGTGGTAGGTACCTGGAACACGCTGCCAGGGGAGGTGGTAGAAGCAGATATGTTAGCAATGTTTAAGAGGCATTTATACAGACACCTGAACAGGCAGGGAATAGAGGGGTACAGACCATTTGCAGGCAGATGGGATTAGTTTAGAATGGTATCGTGGTCAGTGTGGACAGGCCTGTTCCCGTGCTGTACTGTTCTATGTTCTTCCTGTTCCTATTTCTTATGGTTTAATAGTCATTGTGAGAATGGGTAGCAGATCTGTCAGCCCAAAGTACTGATCCTGGCCTTGTTTATGGTCTCCTGTATGGGGTTGGGGGAAGGAGGGGAGCTCCAGCCAAACCCATCCCCAGTTAACGGCGACTGCCTCTAACAGTGGGGCATCTTGTCCTATAAGAGAGAGTAACTATTCCAACAAGTGTTGCAATATCTGCCAGCAATGTGCATATTATGGTTGCATATCTGGCAACATGTGCAATCTGTGAGAAGTGAATGAGAAACTTGAATGTTAATATAGGAGATAGGAACAGCAGTAAGCAATCCAGTCCTTCTCTGACCTCCATAACCCTTGACTCTAACAAGCATCTAAAAAACTTCATTTTGAATAACATCATTGATGCAGCCTCCAATGCTTTATAGAAAAATAATTCCGCAAACCAATGATTCTCTGAAAGAGAAAAACCATCTCCTAATCTGCACCTTAAAAGGGAGATGTTTCATTCTTCAGTGTTGTCCTCTAGCCTTCATTCTGTTGTACACCTGGCCATGAAGAATTACCCGGGTTCGATTCCACCCTCGGGCAACTGTCTGTGTGGAGTTTGCACATTCTCCCCGTGTCTGCGTGGGTTTCCTCCAGGTGCTCCAGTTTCCTCCCACAGTCCAAAAGATGTGCAGGTTAGGTGGATCGGCCATGCTAAATTGCCCCTAATGTCCAGGGATGTACAGGCTAAGTGGATTAGCAATGGGAAATGTGGGGTTACAGGGTCAGAGGGTGAATCTGGGTGGAAAGCTCTTTGGAGAGTCAATGTGGATTTGTTGGGCCGAATGGCCTGTTTCCACACTGTAGGGATTCTATACTGGTTAATGTTTTCTAGCCACTGCTGCGTATATGGTCAATGACATCTCTGATCTCTCATTGATATGCTAATATGTGAACTGCATGTAGATTTAGAGTCATACAGATGTACAGCATGGAAACAGACCCTTCAGTCCAACTCATCCATGCTAACCAGATATTTTTAATTAATCTAGTTCCATTTGCCAGCATTTGGCCCATATCCCTCTAACCCCTTCCTATTCATATACCCATCCAGATGCCTTTTAAATGTTGTAATTGTACCAGCCTCCACCACTTCGTCTGGCAGCTCATTCCATGCTCATACCACCCTCCGTATGAAAAAGTTGCCCATAGGTCCCTTTTAAATCTTTTCCCTCTCCCCTTAAACCTATGCCCTACCTTGGAGAAAAGACGTTGACGATTAATTCTACCCATGCCTCTCATGATTTTATGAACTTGTATAAGGCCACCCCTCAGCCTCCAACACTCCAGGGAAAACAGTCCCAGCCTACTCGGCCTCTCTCTACAGCTCAAACGCTCCAACCCTGGCAATATCCTTGCATTTTTTTTCTGCACCATTTCAAGTTTCACCACCTCTTTCCTATAGCAGGGAGACTAGAATTGAGTGCAGTGGTCGAAATGTGGCCTAACCAATGTCCTGTACAGCTGCAACATGAGATGGGAAGAACTGCAAGGGTCCTGGCCTGAAACATCAGCTTTCCTGCTCCTCTGATGCAGCCTGGCCTGCTGAGTTCCTCCAGCTCCACGCTGTGTTATCAGTTGCAACAAGACCTCCCAACTCCTGTACCCAATGCACTGGCCAATAAAGGCAAGCATATCAAATGCCTTCTTCACTACCCTGAATAGCTGTGACTCCTCTTTCAAGGAACTATGAACCTGCACTCCAAAGTTTCTTTGTTCAGCAACACTCCCCAAGACCTTACCATTAAGTGTATAAGTCCTGTCCTGATATGCCTTTCCAAAATGCAGCACCTCACAATTATCTAAATTTAACTCCATCTGCCACACGTCGGCCCATCTGGTCAATGTCCCGTTGTAATCTGGGGTTACCTTCTCCACCACTGTACCGTCTACTTTGGTGTCATCTACAAACTTACTAACCATATCTCCTATATTCACATTCAAATCATTTCTATAAGTAACGAAAAGCAGTGGACCCAGCACATGATCAATCTGAGATTGGCAAGATGGCTATGACAAATTTCTGATTGGTTTATGAGGATGATGGTCAGAATAATAACTTCCAGTCATTATCTTTTATTCATGTGGAGGATGTGGGCATCATTAATCATGTTAGCATTGGCCAATTGCCATAATATCACAGAATTATTGCATTGTAGAAGGAGGCCATTCAGCTCATTGGGCTAGCACTGGTTCTATTACCAGTTGCCCTTTTCCTACCTTTTCCCCATATCCCTGTACACCATTTCCATCCAAAAATAACCTCCATTTCCCTCTTGAATA